GCAACAAATGAGTCTGGAGAAGCCTAAAGGTCACAGAAGCTAAAGAAATTACAGATTAATCACTTCTGCCCCTCCTTAGGAATGTGCCATGGAAGCTCATTTGAAAAATCTTTTTCTGGTGCTGTAGAGACCAACCCTGTAGGGAGCTAATGCTCCAGGGTTGAAAAGTTACTTCCACATAGGATCCAGGCATCCTATCAGGGCAGGTATTCCAGTGTCCTAAAGACCAAGTTGGGATGGAAAAGCACCTTGCCAATGAGTCTTTCTGTCACTGCTTTGGCCCAACATGAAAAGACAGGGAAGAGATGTTGAATAGCCACACACTGTTAGAACTATCCTCCTTTACTGTCCCCTTTCTCCTTGCCTCATCACTCAATTTAAGTAAACCAACAAGTCTCTACCTTAACACAGTGGCTGTCTGGCCTGCATCTTACATGAAAGAGATTTGACTCTGGGGCTCAGGTGCAGGGAGTGGGAGGGGCGTGGGGGTGGCCTTCATAGAAAAAAAAAAAAAAAACAAGGCCTTGGGCATTGAGTAACAGCTGAGACTAGCAAGCCTCATTGTGCAGCATTCCAAGTCGTCTAGCAACATGCTGGCCTCTGCCGTGGAGAGAGAACAGAGGATCCCCAGCAGGATAAATGGAATCTGATTTCAATTACGTTCAGTACAGTCTCCCTCTTCAAGCAGATAGGGCAGAACACCTGGTGCGGCTAGGGCCACTGTGGTCACAGGGGCAGCAAGCATATTACCCCGGTCCTGGAGGCAAGTGGGAATACAGCTTCTCTTCCTCAAGCAGATGCCATATAGGAGGATGTGAAAATTCCAGCCAAGTAAGTTCTCATTGGCACTATGCAGAGAAGGGGGAATTATTTCATCTTAATGGATTCTTCTCACAGTCTTCTGAGCATATTGATCTTGCTTGTAATGAGTTTGCTTAGGTCCACAAGTCATCGTCACCCCACTGAGATCTGAATCATCGGTGAGAAAATCAAAGTGACATATCTCACTAATCATGCTCTGTATGTCCCTCTAACATCTGAAAAAGCCCATAGATTCATCAGTATATAATTTATTTGGATGTATTTGTTAAATGAGACATGTACCCAACACTCTGTATTCACAGCACTATTCAGTAGAGCTTTCTGAGATGATGGAAATCTTCTATATCTGTGTTATCCAATAATGTAGCCACTAGCTACACCTGGCTCTTGAACATAGGAAATGTGGTTAGTTGAGACTGAGGGATTACATTTCTAATTTTTTTGAATTTTAATTAATTTAATTTTGAATAGCTACATGTCACCAGTAGCTACTGTGTTGGAAGTAAAGATCCAGAAGGAGCTCAGAGAGGCACATACTGAGATAGAACAGGAATGAGTTAGTCAAAAAGAGAGCCATTGTGTCGTAGTAAATTTTGGATTAGGAATAAGAACCCTGGTTCTGATCTCAGCTCTGCCACTAGGTGATATCACCTTCCCTGGCTTCTGCCTTCCTATCTTTGACTTGAAGGTTAGACTGATGTCAAAAGTCCTGAAATGATGGCTAAGGTCTAAATTCAATTTTGGAATATAAGAGTTTCAAGAATATTTTGAAATCTTTTATGAATACGTTCTAGGGGTGTGTGTGCACATTCACATTTGCTCACCTGGTGGGAAATATAGCATTTATTATAGTTTGTCAGAGTACCAACTATTCTCCTATACACATGCATAAACACCCCTGCCGTATTACCTATGTAGACCCTGAAGGTATTTGTTGCTCTCATCTGATAAGATGATTTCTAAGAACCCTTCCTGTTTTGTCATGCTGGGAATCTTAAGCCATTCTAGTGTGCCAAATCTATTTTAGCTTGGGAAGATGACAGGAGTATTGTCATAGCTTCCTAACACGTTATTCTGTATTTGATGCTAGTTACTGGAGTTTGTAGTCAATGGAGAAGAAAGGAAGCAGAAAGGATATAACTCTAGCCTTGCTCCTTAAGTCTGTTTTTAGGCTAAACATAGGGTGCAAAACTTCAGACTCCTTGTAGAGGCAACATGATATAGTAAAAAGAACATGGGCCTTGTAGTCAACAGGCCCATTTCAGATTATTGTGTTCTCTTTCTTGATAGCTGTGTTACCTCAGTTTACTCATTTGCAAAACATGGATAAGAAACATCCTTAATCTCCTAAAATCACTGTGGAATTAAATAATGTAATGTGTTCATGAAATGAGGCATGTGGAAGGCCTTGAAAAAAATAGTAGTTCCCTTTATTTCTCTTAGTTACCTCATCCATAGGGCTAATTATACCTCTCTCCTATTGCAAGTTGGAAAGAGGACTAAATGGTTTGGCAACTCCTAAGCTCAAAACCAGAAAGCACCTGTGATAGGGAAGGTGGAATCATCCCATAGGAACCTCATCAGGGGAGCAGATTCTGTAGGCACTACTATTCTATAGAACTGTGTCCAAGAACCCATGTTCACAATAGGTTCACTAGATGACAAAATACTGTGGGCCTCTAGCCCTGAGCTTGGCCCCAGACATACCTTCCACCCTATGCCCTTGGTAGGGAGTGGCAGTTGGAAGTGGGTTTCTATATCTCCTTATTACTGGGTGTGCCTAAACCCTGCAGAAATGATTGTTGGACAAGGTTATCTTGCACTGAGGATTGGTTTTCCAGGTTTCTCTCTTATTTTTCCCTGAGTTCTTCTTTATGTTCCTCTTGCACCATTAACCCTACCATTCTTCTCTTCCCTACCTAAGTTGTTGATCCAAACATGTAATCCATTCTTATAGTTATTTACTGAGTGACACTATGAATGGAGTTTGCATTGCACCACTTATTTTTCTAATTAGAGCTGAAAGTCAGTTCCAGATATTTGTATTTCTCTGCAGAAGACAGAAGCAGATGAGTAATAGGCTTTGTTGTATTTATCCATCTAAATTGAACAATCAATTTCTCTGTTTTATACCTTTTTATTATAATTATTTTTAAAAGATTGCAGATAAAGTGGTTTATGGTCCTCACAGTGCAACCGCCTATATTAGACCTCAGAGTTATGACCTTTTCAATTATTTCTGTCATTATAAATGCTAGGGAAAATAGCACAAAATTTAAACATCAAGATGCCCAAAAACCTCAAAATTATGTATATGTGAACATGTAGGGAGGATTGTTCTTAAAGTTTTGAGTTCCAGATTACTGTGGTTGTTTTTAAAAATGTTATTTATACCATTATTTGTAATGGCTGCCTTCTACCATGATTTCCAGTTTACAGACAGATAGTAGAGACAGAGACATTCTGTCATTTTTTTGATACTATTGGGGATGTCAACCCTTCACCTCCCTCCTCCCCTTTGCTAAAAAGAAGAAAATGCCTTACAGTGCATCTTCAACTATGATTCTAACAGTATTTGAGACTGTTCATAGTGTTCAGTAGAAAATGGGACACCAGAAAATTCCCGTTCAGTAAGCCTAAATTTGGTAGTATGAAGATGGAAGGGATGGATCTTTAGGATTACTTTTTTTTTTAAACCGAATTACCATATGATGCTTGAATTCTTAACCATTATGCATCTAGTCTCTATTCATTTTTAGTGACATTAGTGCCTGGCAACCATTCCATCTTCAGAGAGCTTTAACTATCAAAATGTGTGTGTGTGTGTGCGTGAGTGAATGCACATTTAGAGAAAAAGAGAGAGAACACTAAAAGCTAAGTTACTGTACTTTCTGGTACCCAAAGGAATCCAAAGAAAAGTCTGGTTCTTTTCACCAGATATGCCTTTCTATTCTCTTCCTCTAGCCATCTGCTAGACATGCTAAACATTGACACATGTACATCTCCCCTTTGCTCTACAGCAATAAGTATTTGTCTATGATAAAGCCCAAATACTCTAATATGATATACATGGCCCTATCTTTATTTTCAACCCCATAAATAGCCATTCTACCCATATATACAATATACACTTTAGCCACACTGGTCTGTAGTTGTTTCCTTAAACATTCATCAGTGCTTTTGTTTATGCACTTTCACCCACCTCTTTCCTGGCAAAGTTTTCATTGATCTTCAAACTTTTGGTCAAGTGCCACCTTCTTTATAAAGTATGTTTCACCAGCACCTATGCAGGGACAATATTTTTTTTTTTTACAGTGTTTGGCTGGGGCTGGGTTTGAACCCACCACCTCCAGCATATGGGGCCAGCACCCTACTCCTTGAGCCATAGGTGCCACCCAGGGACAATATTGTTTTTCTCTTTTGTTGATGTTTCCATTGTAACATTTACCGATTTGACATTTTCTAGAATTATTTATGGGCATTTATTTCTCCTCTACTAAAGTAGGTCACCCAGAAGCAACAGTCTAACATTGGATATCTATTGAATGAATGAATGCATCATGAATGTATTATTAGTAAATGAGTTAATTGAAAGGCTCAGGTATGAATACTGAAGGCAAAGCCAAATCCAAAGATACATTAGATTGGTCTGGCACAGGGATCAGGAGAAAGCAAGATACTAAAGTTCGGTTTTAGGCTCAGTTCCTGTGGCTCAAGCGGCTAAGGTGCCAGCCACATATACTTGAGCTGGTAGGTTTGAATATAGCCCTAGCCCACCAAACAATGATGGCTGCAACCAAAAAATAGTCAAGCATTATGGCAGGCATATATAGTCCCAGCTACTTGGGAGGAGGAGACAGGAGAATCGCTTGAACCCAGGAGGTGGAGGTTTCTGTGAGCTGTCATTTTGTGGCACTCTACCCAAGGCAACAGCTTTAGACTCTATCTCAAATTAAATAAATAAATAAAGTTTGGTTTTAGCAGAGATTTGGGATGATGAATCATTCACTCATTCGCTCACATTGAATGAGCATTCTTCCTTAAGGAAGCTAGAGTCTGTGACCAAGGAGGATGAATATCTTTATTTTCTTAGCTTAGGCAGTTTTTCCATCAGGGTAACTGCACTGTGTATTTTTGGCTATTGATGATAAATTTAAGTTTCTTTTTCTGCCTAATAGCCCGGAAGCTGAAGAAACTTGGCAATCTGAAACTACAGGAAGAAGGGGAGGCTTCCAGTGCCACCAGCCCCACTGAGGAGCCAAGCCAGAAACTGACAGTGTCACACATTGAAGGCTACGAATGTCAGCCGATCTTTCTGAATGTTCTGGAAGCCATTGAGCCAGGCGTGGTCTGTGCTGGACATGACAACAACCAGCCTGACTCTTTTGCAGCCTTGCTCTCTAGCCTCAATGAATTGGGTGAGAGACAGCTTGTTCACGTGGTCAAGTGGGCCAAGGCCTTGCCTGGTAAGAAAAAGAAAAGTGGGGGCATGGGACAAAGGAGACCATTTAGTGAATGCTCCTATGGGCCAGGCAACATGTCAGGTGCTATCCTTCCCATTAACTTTGGTATAATCCTTACTTTAAACATAAGAGAATTGAGATGCAGAAAGTAAAAAGTGTTTCATATGGCTCTTATTGTTGTCATGTTTTTGTGTTCAACCCACAGACAAGGTCAGCAAAATTTCCCATAATCACAAAATCATACCCACATATGCCTTAGGATGCTTTTCTATATATGCCCAACAGACTCACCCCGAAGATAATCTTGAAACTGGCTGATATTCTGTCTTCAGTATAAACTTCAGGTGGTATGGTAGAAAGAATATGAGATTGGGAGTCAGAATATGGGTTCTTAGCTGTACTGGTAATTTATTGTGTGATTCCCTTCCCCTTCTGGTTCTCAGTTTCTGTATCTGTAAAGAGTGATTTAGACTTCATTAATGGCTTTCAAATTTTGCTTCAAAGAATGCTTAGTGTTCTTTAAACTACCTTAGGAATCATCATAAGAGGAAAGGTCAGGTGACAGTAAGAGAATTGCTAAGTGTTTATTTAACTTCTGGTTGAATACCTCCAGTGATGAGGAATTCACTTCCTTCCTAAACCACCAGTTGTTTAAACAAGTCTGATTATTAAAATACTACAGCTCAAGGAAGACACAGAGATTCTCTATCCAAGAATTTATGGACTATCCTTTAGCAGCCAACAGCTTTAAGTTCTCAAAAGCATTCTACATAGATACAGTGGAGCTGGTTGATTTAAAGCCAGTCTGTGACCTAGGCCTGATCAGATTAGCCTCTCTTCCTCACTATCCTAGGGAAGCCCCAGGTCACTTTTGGGCTCCAAAGAATACAATTTGAAAACAAGTGAAGCATATACTCTTTAAACATTCTCCTAATCCTTATTATATTATTCAAAGATTCTTTTAAAATATTAGCAAACATGGGCAGTGCCTGTGGCTCAGGGAGTAGGTTGTTGGTCCCATATACCAAGGGTGGCAGGTTCAAACCCGGCCTCAGCCAAAACTGCAACAACAACAACAACAAAATATTAGCAAACAAACCTCCTCTTGTAGAGTCAAAGATTAACCTGCCTTCCAATAATAATTGCATTCAAGTGAACAGAGCAGTTTTATATGTATACCTGATTTGATCCTCATAAGAATCTGACAAAATATGGGTTCTTTCCTTATTTTAGAGAAGAAAACACTGAATCTCTGGGAAGTGGTGTGATTGGCCTATAGTTGCATAGCCAACAGATAGCAGAAAAAGAATTTGAACTCAGGTTCTTTCTAATTCCAAATCCCCTCTTAACTTTACTCCACCTGTAGTTTGTAGCCTTCTGCAATTCTGTAGCCCTAGGTATTACAGTGAAAGTCCAAGACCTCATCAAAGGCCACTTGGGTCATATTGTGGACTTGCTACATTTGAAGACATTGTATGTTGGCCATCAGTGCTTATTTTGTTTGTCTGTTTGTTTGTTTGGGATAAAATCTCTCTGTTGCTCAGGCTGGAGTACAGTGACCTCATCATAGCCCATTGTAACCTCAAACTCATGGGCTCCAATGATCTTTCTGCCTTAGCCTCCCAAGTAACTGTGACTAGAGGCATGTGCCACCATGCCCAGCTAATTTTCTTTTTTATAAATATAAATAAAAATTATAAATAATTTTCTTTTATAAATACTTTTTTCCATGTTGTCCAGGTGGGTCTTGAACCTAGGCTCAAACAGTCCTCCCATGTCTGCTTCCCAAAGTGCGAGGATTACAGACATAAGCCACTTCACCCAGTCAAGCCCAATTGTTATATTTTCAACTCACAAGGCCCAATTGCAGCTCTAACCATACCTATAGGCTTTCCAGATACAGAAGCTGAGGTTGACTATCCAATATGATTACTGAGAAGGAGTCCCATGGGCTCTAACTGGATATTCAGTGTGCCAAAACAGAGGGTTCCCACAAAGAATAAAAACCAAAAAAGAAAAAAGAGAAAGTTATTTTAATTCTTACCCATTTTTCAGCAGGATTTCTTGATATCATGTGTTTGACAGAGATTCAAAGTTTAATCTCTCCAGTTTTCAAACACTTGTCTCATTTTATAGGATACAAATACTTTTAATATATGTGATTACACTGAATCCTCACAACAGTCCTATGAATCATAGGGACTATTATTTCCATTACATGACAATGTTCAAAGAGGCTAACTATCTTGCTTCATTTGATCACTTAACAAAAGGAGCCAGGACTTGGGTTCAGACCCACTAGTTTCTAATTTAGTGGTCTTGACAACAGCCATACAAATCATCATGGCAGAATTTGTATGAGTGGGAACACTGACTTTCCTCAGTTCAACCCCCAGGATGGGAAACAGTTTTTTTTTGCATTAACAAGTCTACAAGCTGATAGCTGATTCACTGTCCTGTTTGCCATAGTAAATTATCTCTGACCCTAAGTCATTTAAAAGAATATCTTGAAGGAAAGCCAGTTGTCATATTTATATTATCAAAAATCATCTACTAGTTTAGGTAATTTACTCATTCAATAGATTGAGCTTCTGACCTGTATGAAGCACTGTGCTAGGCACTTAGTACGAAGAAGTTTGTTGTAAGTTTTCTGTGATAGTAATGATATATGGAAATTGATTAGTAGGGTACCTGGCAAATTAAAAATGATAACTGTTCATTGGGGGAAAATGAGTAGATTGTGTATGAACAGTATATTTAGAATCAAATGTATCTGGTTTGGTATCCTAGCTATGCACTAGTTGTGTGACCTTGAGCAAATAACATGTCTTCTTTGGGCTTCTGTTACCTCATTTGCAGAGATGATAGTACAATCACTACCTTGCAAATTGTTATCAAAAAAGATATTATGCATAAAGAGCACCTTGTACAGTAGCCGAAATATTGTAGATGCTCTATAAATGGTGACTCATTGTTATGTGGCTTGAGTACTAAGCCACTGCTTTCACTGAGCTCAATTTAAGCTCCCACTGACTTTGCTGACAAGCTCCTTCATGTTGCCAAAGGCTGAAATGCCTTCTTTGAAGACTTTGCCTGGCAGATGTACTAAAGCCACAAAGATTTCCAAACTGGGCTTTCTTTGAGACTGTTCTCCCAGACTAGACACAGGTCTACAGGTATCCCCTGAAGATTGCTAAAAAAAAAAAAAAAAAAAAAAAAAAGTCATGTCAATTAGATTCTAATGAGAAAACAGTCTCAAAGAAACTGTCTCTGCTCCATAACCTATTTGGTATATTTCAAAACCTGAGAACAACTCCTCTGTATTTCTCTTAAATAATCTAAGATGGTGTCAAATAGGTGTTGTATAAATTCATGCCTTAAGGAAACCTGTAGGGCTCAGGCTATTATTTTCTCAAGTCTTCCCTCAATAACCTTGCAAGCTACTACGAAGGCTGAGAATTAAAGAACAGAGTTAGGTATTACAATTAGATCAGACCTATAGGAAAATTAGCTGGCCACATCCATCACAGGTGCACAGTCTTGAGTGCTAAGCAGCTCTCACTAAGGAGTGTGTATTAATATTACAGCCAAACTAAACTTTCCCTTTTCTCTCCTCTTTGTTACTTTCCTGGCATCTCAGGGAGGGAAGAAAACATTGGTATGAATACTTTCCTTGATTCTGTACACAACAATCCTCATCCCTCTATACACTCTCACATACTCCACCAGAAGATAAAGGATCACCATCCAAAGATTTTCCTTGCTCCCCACTGCCTCCTACTCCAGAGGTTCAGGATTCAAACTCCTGGGCCTTTTCACCATGAGTTCCTTGGGAGCTGTGTGCTTGGACCCTACTTATTGTCTCCTACTGGGTATATCAGTCTTAGACATTCTTTGCTACAGAAGGTCTCCAAGCAGGAAATACACTGGCATCTGAGGCTTCGGGCAGTCTGTCAGCATGTCAGTACAGTGAAAATTAGAGGCACTGGGCTGGAAGCTAAGATTGCAGCCAAGGGTGGTTTGTGCTATGAGGACCCTGATGTCTGGGACACTTGTGACCTAAAAGAAAAGGAAAGGGAAACGGGGCTGTGTAGGGTAGGCAGGAACCAACCCAGAAAAATGATGTGTCTGGGTAGTGTAGACTTCAGACCTGAGCCTATGGCTGAAGAGAGCTGGTGACCTTGATGGTTCCTGAACTGTGACCATTAGCAGTAAAGTGGAAAAAACACCCACAAAGAGATCATAACACCTAAGTTCTAGTCCTCATTTGGCCACATGTAGATATATGACTTTGGGCAAGTTAGTTAACTTCCCTGGCCCTCAGATTCCTTGCTGGTAAAGTAAGTGTCACATCACCCTTTCTCTGGGGCTGTGAGGGTTAAATGAGGTCACCAATAGGAAGGTGAGTAGATTGATAAAAATTTGAGGAAACATTCCTTATGAAGTATAACAAGACAAAATTTCAAATAATTCTAGATTTAATGGGCAGAAGAAAAAGGGGGTGCTAATAGGGATGAGTTCTGAGGTGATGCCTTATAACTTTAAGTATCCAACTGTTTTAAAACCTCCAGGAGAACATAGCCATATTTGTTCTACCTGTGTGTTACTGGGAACCTCTGTACTTAATGGGAGGTAATTTAGAGATCACCTGATTCCCATTTCACAAAGTGGAAAAAATTGAAGGCCCTTAGCCCACTTGCTTAATGTTTTTCAAATGCCTGCTCAAATACCTAAACAGTGCTATGTACTAGGAAGGCAAAGATAAATAAAAAGATACAACTCCAATTCTCAAGAAGCTGAGAGAGAGAGAGGAGTGAGAGAGAGAGAGAGAGACCAATGTTGTATAATGAGTGCTGTAGTTTGGGTGGGGCTATCAAGGTAAAAGAATCATTACGCTCTCTGCTTGGGAGAGTTGGAAAAGGCTTCACAGAGTAAAGACTTGGAAGATGATTAGGTTTTTAATAGACGGAAGGTGTTCCATCTCATGGAAGGCCTGAGATAGGGAATTCACTCTATGCAAAAGCAACTGCCTGTGTAAAGATAGCACAGCTATAGAGGCATCTGAAAGCATGATGTGTTCAGAAAATTGTATGTATATCAGAATAGCTGGGACTAAATTATGAGAAAGCTAGTGGCAAGAAATTAGTCTAGGGAAATAGGCCATAAAGGACCTGTTTTTGTATAATAATAGCAGTAAGGTGAGGACAGCAGTAGGGTAGGAAACTAGCAGGGTCAGGGTACCTGTTGAACAGAAAATATTGGAAAAGTATGGGACAGAAAAGTGGGAGAGATAAAAGAGAGCACAAGGGAGTGGCTGTCAAGGCATGCCCCCAAAAGCTAATATGTAAGAATATCCCTATCCAGGGTTGTTTAGAAGAGCCAAATCAGACTATATCTAGAAATGAGCTTTGTAAAGTAAAAAGTTCTGTTCATGTGGGAAGAATGATTATTAAACTGTATCTTCAGAAAGGTGGAATGATCAAGAGCCCAGGCTTTGGAGCATGGGCTTGGCTTTGGAATTTGGTCTGTCTAGCCATATGATCTTGGACATGTTCTTCACTTTTATTGTTTCCCAGAATAAGGATAATAATTGTACCTACTTTATTCACTGTTGTGCGAGTTAAATGAGGTAATATAGTAAAGTGCTTAGAAAAGAGCTCACTCATTGTAAGCTATTAGTGTTAGTAGGTGTTAGATTAGTTTTCTTTTCCAACTGGCAATGCCCCTTTTGCCTCCATTATCTCATTTGAGCAGCTCAGTAAAGTTGGAGGGTCAAGGAATAGTATCCTCATTGTACAGTTTGTTCTTTTCCCTTGACCATCAGTGGCCCACTCTGATTGTTCATGGGCTTCCGGGGGCCTGCCTGAGTGCCAGAGAGTCCCAGCCTAACAGAGACCCAGGCTTAGTTCAGCATATCAGTGCCCAGACTGACCACTGTCTCTGCCCCTTCTTCTCCGCAGGATTCCGCAATTTGCATGTGGATGACCAGATGGCAGTCATTCAGTACTCATGGATGGGGCTAATGGTGTTTGCCATGGGCTGGCGATCATTCACCAACGTCAACTCTAGGATGCTCTATTTTGCCCCTGATCTTGTTTTCAATGAGTAAGTGCTCCTGGGCTCAGACCTCACTTAAATACAGTAGCCTGGCCAGACCTGGTTGGTGGTGATAGAGATGGGGGGTGACAGTAAAGGTTAGTTCATTTGACCTATAGGTGTGGCAGTGGATGCCCCAGCTAGCCAGCCCAGTCTGAGGTGGCTTTACCTTGGCTAGGAAGCCAACTTGTGGGAGGCAAGGGGGTTGGCACTGAGGCAATTCCTTTCCCATCCAAGACCTAAACCTGGTATATTGGTTGTTCTTCTGATGTGCTCTGCAGCTTATCTCAGAACTGCATGTAAAGGTCGTTTCCTCTTCACTCAGGGAAACATAAGGAAGGGGCAGAGACTCTGGTTGTGAGGACTTACATTCGTTCCTTTAGTCCATTTGTTATCACTGAGGGCTACTATCAGTCACCATTTATTGAGCAATTTCTTTGTGCCAGGGCTATGCTATTTTCAAAATCCTTTCTCATTGAGTCCTCATGGTGACCTGACCCCCCATTTTTCAAGATTATTCTGTTTGTTTTTTATGGATGGAGAAAGTCAGCCTCAGCAAAATAAATTGACTCATCCAAAGTCACATAGCTAGTGCATGTCAGAGGCAAAAATCAAATGCATGTATGTCTCTACTAGCTCTTCTCCTGCCTCATGGTGCTAACTGATCAAGAGGAGAAGCCTTACCATTCTCTGGCTGTGTCATTCTCTGAGCCCTGCCCTTTCACTTCTATTAAATAGGTTTAATTAATACCTGTACTGCCACAAGCTCTATTTATCCTTTATGAATTTGGCCAAGGGCTCAAGTTTTAGAATTGCATAGTTCTCCATTAAGATCTCTGTTCTATTATTTTCTACATCATCATCCTTGGACAGGACCCTTTACATCCCTGACCCTCAATTTCCTCCACTGTCAGTTATAATAGAACCTTCATAAATGGTTTCTTATGATAGCTAATTGTGAACTGGTGAATGTGGAGCAAAAGAAATCCCTTTCTGATTTGCCCTTTTTCTAATAGTGAAACTCTTCTGAGTTAGAGGACTTCTCTGTATCTGCCATTTAAGGTCCTGCAATGGCACTGTGAATGGACCTGGTCAGAAAAATCTTCCCAAGGACCTTCATCTAGTCTCACCACAAGAATACTTTTAGTCATAGCAGGAATTGACCTTCTTTCCCCTCCAGCTCTCTAACCTAGAGGAACCTTAAAATAAAATTTACGGACTAGTGGTTCTTTCCAGTACAGAAGTGCTATGCAAGGGAGAGTGAGCGTCCCCAGCTGCCCTCTTCCAATCTAACCAGCCTGATAGCCAGAAGCTAAGAATAGCCACTGGGATTTTGACATGACCTGCTTTGTGGCATCCAGACTGCCAAAGAGTTGCTTACGATGCCATCTTCTGGATGAGGGCTTAAAAAAACCCTAACTCCCATATCCCATCTCCAATCCCCTCCTATCCTTGAGTGATTGACTCAACTCCATGAACACCTGCTCCACCTTCCCCTGAGACCTTTGGAACTTTGCAAGGTGATAACTGGTTATTTTTAAAATCCCCATTTCCTTCTGTACCTCTGAGTAAGCATATGACAACCCCCATCTCATTTACCTGGCCTAGTCCCATCCATTTCATCAAAAGATGCCACAGGTCTCTCCACAGAGACAGGGCCCAAGAACCACCAATTCCCAGAGCTCCTGAAACAATAAGCCCTCCCCTCCCCTTATAAGAATCCACTATGTTAGAGCTCTCAGAGTCCCTACAAACATCTAGACCAGTGCTTGTGAACATAGATGCTATTGATATTTTAGTAAGAATAATTTTCATTGTGTGAGACATTCCTACATATTGGAGTATATTAAGCATCCCTGATACCTGCTCACTAAATACAAAATAAGATTCTAGTCACTCTGACAGCCTAAACTGCCCACACACATTTCTAATGCCCACTGAGGACATAGTACCCTCCAGTCAAGAGCCACTAATTATTGCTAGCATCCTCAAGGTACTAATGAGAAGACTGAGATGCAAAGAGGGAGATAGAGACTTTTAGAAGCTAGGCCAACCCATTTTCTTTTTTAAAAATTTCAGATTAATATGAGCTATGAGGGTACAATGATCAAGTTACATTGTTTGTGTTTGTTAGGTATAGTTCAAGTGGTAGTTGAACCCTTGACCCAGAGGGTGCACTGTATACTCTTAATTTGTACCTATTAAGTGAAAGCTTACCAATCCATCCCTCTCACCTTTCCATCTTCCCCTTTACCCCCATTTGATTTAATTGCATTTTTTTCTCCTGTAGGAATGTAGTTGTTAATCTACTGGCTTCATATTAGTATTGAATATGTTATATATATATTTTTTACATTCTTGTGATATTTTAGTAAGAAGAATATTCTTCAACTCCATTCAGGTTAATATAAAAGATATAAAGTCTACATCCTTTTATGGCTGAATAGTACTCCATGGTATACATTATACCATAGTTTACTAATCCATTCATGGGTTGATGGACAGTTGGGTTTTTTCCTACCTCTTAGTGATTGTGAATTGAGCTGTAATGAACAATCTAATGCAAATTTACTTATGGTAAAATGATATTTTTTCCTTTCTGGATAGATACCTAGTAATGGTAGTGCAGGATCAGATGAAAGGTTTACTGTTAGTTCTTTGAGGATTCTCCATACTTCTTTCCTTAAAGGCTGTATTAGTTTGCAATCCTACCAGCAGTGTAAAAGTATTCCTTTCTCCCAACATCCAGAAGATATTTGCATGCTAGGAATCTGACAGAGCACTGGTAACTAGAATCTATAGAGAACTGAAACTAGTCAACAGGACCAAACAGTCCCATTTATAAGTGGGCAAGAGACATGAACATAACCTCTCTGAAGAAGACAGACAAATGGCCAACAAACACATGGAAAAAAAATGCTTATTGTCCTAATCATCAGAGAAATACAAATAATAACCACCCTGATATATCATTTAACCCCAGTGAGAATAGCCCACATCACAAAGTCTCAAAGCAGCAGATGCCAGTGTGGGTTTGGAAAGAAGCCAATCCATTTTTTGATCTCTCTGACACCAAACCTTGTCATCAATCCTGTTTTATTTCTTTCTATCTTTTTGGAGAGTACATGCTGTGAAGATAATGGGCTTGAACCTTACCCATGTGACCTTGGGAAAATTTCTGAGTTTTTCTGAGCCTCAAATATCATCTGTAGTATGGTGAATAATATCATAATAGCACCTACATGTCATTCACTGAATACTTACTATGTATTAGGTAGGCACTGTGCTCAGTGTTTTCTAACCTTCATTTTCCCTCTTATCTATTCTTGTTTATTCCCACCTACCCCACACCTGCTCTCCTCCTCAATTCCATTCCTGCTCCTCTTTTTCTACGCTCCACTCTCTTCTCCCTTTCCTTCAACTCTCTCCTATTCTTTTTGCCCTTTCTCCTCATTTCTTGTTTCTATCCCTCTTTGAATTACTCCTCTTTCCTTTTCCCCTTCTTTTCCCTCTATTCTCCACCTTCTCTGTCCCTGGGGCCTGCTGCAATGTTACAGGAATCCTCTATGATTTCAATGGTAAAAAGAGTAGATGTTGTCATCAACAGAGAGTTGAAGTCAAATGCAGACTGGAGCAAGGCCAGGCCACAGAGTCAGCAGGTCTTACTCAAAAATTCTCTAGGATTAAAGAGCTTGGAGCAACACTGTTCTGGTCAATTGACTTGTGATACTATCTAAGCACTTCCTCTTTCTAGTTGGGCTTCAGCCTGAGTTGAATAATTCTACACCATCTCTACCCCTTTCCCTCTTTCTCCAGGACACCCAAGATCTCTCTGAGATAGGGTGCTGAGCCTCCATGCAGACAATACTAGGCATTCTCAGCCTGTGGACTAGGGTAGTGGCTTGGAGACCAAAATGTCACAGCACAGCCTTTGGACTCCATCTGAGAGGTCTTGTTCTCACCACTTAAATTGGTGTCAAATTTCCTTTCTTTTCTCCGCATACTACACAGTAAATTTCTGTCTTATACATGTGCTTGTGCTTGTATTTTTGAATCAAGCACACACTTGATTTCTGAAGTGCTAAAAACCAGAAGGCCTAGTTGTGGAAGGATGCTATGTTGTCTCTTAGAGGCATGCAATGGCCAGTCATGGAATCAAGAAGGTTTCTTCCCCCTAAGAAGCTGCCCAAGCCTTGGCACTTCCACATATAATTTATAGATGATAATATGATGATATATTAAGTCACTATATTGAAAGTAGCTCACATATGTTTATAGCTCCCAAACTATGGTAAGGAACAGCTAGCATATGGGGGAATGTGTTCCCCCCCAGGACAAGTGAACACATGGACTTAAGATCACATGTGGCCTCCTAAGTCCTAAAGTGTGGTCTTTGACTGAATGCAAATTTTATAGAACAAATCTATAAGGCTTGTAGCAGAGAAAGATGAAAAAGCTTTTCTTGCCACCTTTGATGCTTAAAAAAATAACAGTCTTAAAATCTGAAGCCCAAGTGTGGCCTGGAAGGTTTGAAAACCATTAGAACTACTTTTGAAAGGATAATGTGGAATCTCAGTTGCTGGCAGTTTTTAAAGAAATGATAAAATTTCTGGTATTCCAGGCCAGACACAGGGGAGTCAGCAGAATGACCAAACAATTGGGTTGTTTGTGATCCCTCATGTTCTAATGTTAAAAACTGATTTCTGGGGCCTCTCTACTAGAAATTATACATGCTGGGCACCTAAGAGGCAGGTTCTGGCTCTGGCTATAGCTAGGATATTAGCTCTGTAGTTAGGGAGATCATGTACCAGCTCCATTGTGTTCATTTGGTTAGGCTTTCCTGTATCTGACTCAGGAAACAGATGGTGCACAGAGACCTGGAAATTCCATGTGCTCACCAATATCCTGGCCAGGGAAGATGAGTAGTTATCAGGATGTCAGGATTTGGGAAATAAAGAATAATCTTGTTCCTTTCTCTAAACAGAAAAGAGAAATAGAAAGTTCTTGGAGAACCTGGAAAGGGAGGGAAAATAGAGACATTCCCTCTGGACCTGTTGTAAGCCTCCCTTCATTCTTCTTCCTTTTCTTCTGTTTCTCCTTCTCAGGTACCGCATGCACAAGTCCCGGATGTACAGCCAATGTGTCCGAATGAGGCACCTCTCTCAAGAGTTTGGATGGCTACAAATCACACCCCAGGAATTCCTATGCATGAAAGCACTGCTACTTTTCAGCATTAGTAAGTACCTGGAGGCACAGGGAATACCACAGGGCGGGGGCGGGAGGCACAGAGACTGAGAAGGAACAACTTTCACCATCAAATTTTATCAGGGAGAAACCAGTTCCTCTCCACTTTCCCTTCTTCTTTCTCCCTGCCTACCCCCTAATATCCTTCAGCATTTTTCTTAACACAGGCCACCTTCATGACTAGAGACCAGATTTTGCTAGAATTAAGCCTCTGTCCAATCCCCTACCTACCCTTACTCACTCTGTGGGATAAGACCTTTTTGGCTAGTTGCTGCAGGTATCTGAGTTTTTCTACATCCTCTGCTACAAAAACAAACATGGCCCACCTTGTATTCCCTGCAGGAAGTAGAGCAAGAAAAATTGCCTCCTGGAAGAAATGTCCTCCTCTGCCAACAAGAGGTCTATGTAAGCAACTAAGAGTTTATTTAGCAGCCCAGGAACTTTTTTGGTGTCCCTTCTAAACAGAGTGGTGTCTTTGCATCTATGTAAGGGAGAAATGAGGCAAATTTTGATATTCAAATCCATAAGCTTTACTTTTCTCAATCAGGCCTGGACTGCGATGACATAAAACCTCAGGTTCTAAGACATGAATGGATATATGAGAAGACTAGAAAAAGGAAAAGTTCATTCAGTAAATTTTATTTATTTGATCCCTTCAGATAGGGTCCAGTGATCTTTTCCCCTGAGATCTTCCTGGCAGACAGAAGGCCACAGGCATGCAGACATCAACTGACAGGAAGCCAAGTAGCTGGTTCCCTGTGGGGGTGGGGGTCAAGTTTGTGATCATAAAACTTGGTGCTTTGTCTAATGCTTCTTTGTGGGCATGCTTCCCCTCCCCATTCTGTCTTCATCCTACATCAGTTCCAGTGGATGGGCTGAAAAATCAAAAATTCTTTGATGAACTTCGAATGAACTACATCAAGGAACTCGATCGTATCATTGCATGCAAAAGAAAAAATCCCACATCCTGCTCAAGGCGCTTCTACCAGCTTACCAAGCTCCTGGACTCTGTGCAGCCTGTAAGCAAACAATGGAGGGTGCTTTATCGGGACAGCAACCTGATAAAGCTAAGTGATAATCTGCTCCTTTAAAGTCTGGTACCACTTGTTGGGAGGTGCTTCCATTCCCCTCTGGCTTTGAGTGCGCTCCAGGAAGAAAATGCAGTGGAGAAGGAACATGGGTCACAGTGTCCCAGCTGGGCAGTTGGGAAATGGGTGGAGGAGTTCAGAACAGAGCAGTTGGGACTGAGGGAAGGAGCTTACAGCAGATGAATTCTCTAGGCAGACAAAACAGACCTGGATATTTTTCCTCTCTTCCTTGAGTAATGTGCATGTGCGTGTGTGGGGGGGGGTATGCGTGTGTATGAGAGAGAGAGAGAGAATGTGTGTGAGAAAGAGGGAGAGAGAAAGAAAGGGAAAAGAGAGAGTGCTCTGGGGAAGAGGAACACCCCTTCCTAAATCAAAGAGCTTGCAATGTATAAGAGATTTATTGGGAGCCCTCAGTCTCTCTCTCTCTCTCTCTCTCTCTCTCACACACACACACACACACACAATCTCATGGGAGGGGACCAAGGACAAGGAAATGGGGGAGGAAACAATGAGCTAAAGAGTACAGAGTCTCCAGAAGCCAACTCTGTGGCAAATCTGTTTTTTTTTTCTCTCTTCCTCTCTCTTATTATCACCTGCAGATTGCAAGAGAGCTGCATCAGTTCACCTTTGACCTGCTAATCAAGTCCCACATGGTGAGCGTGGACTTTCCGGAAATGATGGCAGAGATCATCTCTGTGCAAGTGCCCAAGATCCTTTCTGGGAAAGTCAAGCCCATCTATTTCCACACACAGTGAAACATTGGAATCCCCCATTTCTCCACCCCAGCCCCATCACCTTTTCAGATGTCTTCTGCCTGTTATAATTCTGCACTACTCTTCTGCAGTGCCTTGGGGAATTTCCTCTATTGATGTACAGTCTGTTATGAACATGTTTCCGAGTTCTATTTGCTAGGCTTTTTTCTCTTTTCTTTTACTCTTTTTCCTCTCCCCTCCCTATCTGATCCTCCATGGCCCCTTCCAGTTCTACTCCCTGTTATGTCTCCTGTGTTTTCAATGGCATCGTATTTCTTTAAATCTGTGATGATCTTCACATGGCCCAGTGTCAAGTTATGCTTTACAGCACTGCACTGTGTGCCAGCCACGCAAACGTTTACTTACCTTATGCCACGAGAAGTTTGGAGAGCTGTAAGTATCTGGGGGAAAAAAAGCAAAAACCAAAACAAATAAACAGCAACAAAACAAAAAGCCAAAAAAAAAAAAAACCCCAAAAAACCTTGCTAGGGTTTTTTGCTTCAAAAACATAAATAAAAACAAACAGCAATCCCAAAGAGGCCAACAGTGACTAGAAGAAGGTGAAAATTCAAGGCTCATGGGAGTCACTGCTTGTTTTCATCCCCTCCCTCCCTGGGAGACTTTATTTTCTGCCAATGGCTGTTGCCATTAGAGGGCAGGATGACCCCAGAGCTAGTTGGGAAGGAGAAACAAAGAGAGGAGAGGACAAGGAGGGCAGATGGATCATCAGTAGCTGCCCACAGCTTTGGCCCCTAGGGGCTAGACTGCTCAACTGCAGTGCAATTCATTGTACTGAAAATGTGCTTCTTGTTTGAAAACTTGTCTGCATGTGAACTCCTTCCCCTCCAACCCTTTCCTCTCTCACCCTCTGTCTCCACCCTCAAATTGACTTTCAATATTTTTTTCTAAGAGCTTGGAACTGAATGTTCTCTTTAGCCAAAACTTGGCTACTTCTACTGAAGAATCAGACTAGTGAGGAGAGGAGAGAGATCTGAACTGTTAAAAGGCCCCATGTGGATCCAGGTCTGCTTTCTCATGTGTGAGCCTGGGAGAAGATTGCAACTGGAGTCAGAGGAGAAAGAAATGATGTCTTGGCTCTTCTCCCACTTAGGACATTAATAATTGATCCCTCACTGCCACCACCTTTTCCTCATCTTAGAAAGACCTGAATGAAGTTGTCTGCCAGACCCAATATGGCCACAAGCTCCTTTCACCCCCATTTCAGGGTTTGGGGACCTGAACTTCACCACACTACATTTTAGCCATGGTGGTGAAGCTTGTTCACCTCTTTGTGCATGCTCACAGACTCTCCACTAAGAGCCTTAACCACCAAGATGGCTAATAAGCCAGCAGCTCTGACATCTCTCTCCAGATGCCAGTAGTCTCAAAGACTTCTTACCAAATATGTCTCATCAACTATCATATCTCTAGAGCCCTTAGATAAACTGGAAAGAAGGCATCAAAGCAATTGGACAAGCAGGGCACCTTGCCCTTGTCCTCCAGAAATTATACCCTCACACCAAGTGGAGAAATGTCTACTTCCTTCTTTACAGCAGCTAAAGGGAGCTACCCAGATTAAGGTTGAAGAGAAAAGTCAATTACTGCAATGAAAGCATCAGAACAAGAAACCCTGCAAGTGGTCTCCTCGCCCCCTAACATATCCACCTGCAGAAATCATGGGAAGAAAAGAGGCAGAACCAAAAGAAGACTCTGACTACTAAATTAAAGGCTCCAAAGGCAAAGCCTAAAGCCAGATGGGCACCATCTGGTGAGTTTACTTATCATACTCCTCTGCTGCTGATTCTGGGCTCTGACATTGGCCATACTCACCCAGATTCCCCACCATTGTTGCTGCCTCTCAGTCAGACTGAGGCTGAACCATTGAGACTTTCAGCAGAACCATGGCATCCTTTGGAATGGTTTGGTTGGTATGGCTCTGATACACTGCCACCTGTGAATTCAGGCTGTGCTCCTGGGACATTGGTTTCATATAGTCCTTTGGCACACCTGTATTTTGTTGATTTTATTCCCCAACATTGAGTGAAGGGGGAATGTCCACCTACTTTCTTCTCTTGGCCACTGACTCCTCATTTAGCAATTATCCTCATCAGTTGAACTCAAGAAATCAGGGCCCAGTCACCAAGCTTCTCATTTTAGTTGGTACACTCTGCTTGTTGAGAATATAGTTTCTGAGTGATATAATATGATCCACACGAGTTTCCTCCCCTGATTTCTGTGTTAATATTAATAGCCAAATGAACTTTCAAAACAGCTTCTTTGAATAACAAGAAAGAGGTGAACCTAAGATGGATGATATGTCAATCCAAGACTGCTGGGCAAAGTAAAGCTGACAAGTTCCCTTACTAGGGTAGAATAGACAAATTCTGGTTTTCTTTGTTATAGCACCATCTGGCTTATGTACAGGATTACTTTTAGCTGTTTTAAACAGAAAGAAAAAAACATTCATCATTCTTTTCAGTTAAACTAGATTACGTTTTAATAGGTCCTTTACATCTGTTTTGAAACGATTTTCATCTTTTGTGGTACGTGGATTCAATTATATCATTCTAATACCTCTCCTTGTAAATAATAGAGGTTATCCTTTCCATTTCTATATCAAATTTTCATCTTTATGGATTTCCCAATTGTGACTCTTGTCTTTATGAATATATATATATGTCTTTGACTTGCAAAAGCCCCAAATCAGTGAAACAGCATGTAATTAAAAGCAACAACAACTGGATTACTCCAGATTTCCAAATGGCAAAAACACAGGGGAAAATGGCCTAAACAAGGCTTTAAGTCTTCTGTTTCTGTACTGGGGTTTGAGTTAGCAAAGGAGATTTTAGGTTGGCTCTGTTTTCTCACACAGGAAAGGGGGAGGATTTTTTTTTTTTTTCTTTTGGCAATTGATGTTGCAGCCAACGTAACTGACAGAAGTCTCATTGTGCAAGCATTCTGCTTTACAAACAGAGTTGCTGTGGTTTGTACACTGTGCTCACCCATAAGAGACTGGCCACCCAGACCCACTCACCTGGTGAGCTAGAAGATGAGAATTAATCACCGGACAAGTCATGGGGACCATCTCCAAAGAAATTGGCAATGCTTGATGGGAATGGAGACTAAGGAAGAGAAAAAAGAAGGAGCACCAGGGAGAAGGCCCCATCTGTGCTAGAAAGCAGACAGCTGCCAGGGTCACAAACTCTGTGGTCAAAGAAAAGAGTCGTGTGGCATTTTCAGCTCTCATTCATTGGGCAGCTCACCTGAGCCTGGCCTATGAACTGACGTGGGAGTTGGATCCTTTGTTCCATAGTTTTTCTATGCCACGGGCAATATTGTTATTCCTGGAAAGGTCATTCTTTTTTAAAAAAAATTATATTACTCTGAGAAATGGATTTTGAAAGATTCTGTCATATATCTTTGAAAAGAAAAAATCAGTAATTCATATATTTTTATGTTTGGTCACTGGCACCAAAAAGGAAAAAAATGAAACTTCACTTCATCCTTTGGGTAATTGCTGAGGTAACTGTCCAGGTTGAGAAATAATGTGCTGATGGTAGGTTTCCTCTCTGTCTATGTAGGTATATATAACAAGTTGCATTTGACTTGTACTTTAAAAGAAGATATGTTCACCACCCACATGATATTGACACACATGAGCTAATTTTGAGTTTCAAGTATCTCCTAAGTGTTTGTTTCATTAGGCACAGCACAGATGTGGCCTTTCTCCCTTCTCTGCCTTGATGCCTGGTAGGGCACAAAGGCCCAAGCCACTCACTCTGCCCCTTCCCAGACTTGCACCAGTACTACACTTGAAGAGACTTTCTCCATTCAGCCCATTAACTGTCCCTACATGGCCCCCATATAGCTCTAGAAAAACTAGAGTCTGACTACTAATTATCCTGTGCCAGTTGCCCAGATGAGAGGGCACTGGGCCAAGGGAGTGGTTTTCATGCTTGACCTACCATGGAAGGTCATGGGAATAGGGAATGCTAAAGCACTAGATCAAACTCCAAATTTAAAGTCAAAAGAAGCCATTTAGCACTTGCAGTTTCTTAGAAAAGGAAGTTTCTACCCCGATGCATTTATAGGCAGATCTTTTCTTATCATTAGTCTCTTTGAAAAATCTGAAAGCAGTTTTTACAAAAAGACAAAAAAAAAAAAGAGAGAGAGAGACATGAAAGCATCATGTCATGCAACCAAAGATTACATTGTGTCTGCTAAGATACCAAAAATTTAAGGGCAGGGAGGGAGCAAGCATTAGTGCTTCTTTGGTAAGCTGTCCAAAGGTAGGACTTTGCTGGTGACTGACTTACAACAGTTTTGTGGGGATTTTTTTCCCCTCACAATATACATGTTTAGAAGAGTTGAAAATAATTTTGGAAAAATGGGATTATTGGTCCTTCACTAGTGATTTTATAAGCAGAACTAGCTTTTCTTTTCTTTGGTAGATGCTGAACAAATTCTTAAAACTCCATTATTGCATGGTTGGAAATGGAGCTGTACTTAGCCATTGTGTTTGTTAGTGCCCATGTTAGCTTATCTGAAGATGTGAAGCCCTTACTGACACAGGGAGCGTTTAAAGAACTAGATTTTGCACTAGAAGGACAGAAGGCAGAAATTCCAATTTCTGGCTACTTTGAACAGCACAAAAAATTCTCTGTGGTTTAGGCAGAAGGTTGAAATATATTGTAAATGAGTATTTGTATCCACGTTTCAAAATTGAATTATATATATAGATATAATGTGTTCTGATAGCTTTACCTTTCTTTGCACCTTTATATTTGGTTCCAGGTCATACCCGATGCCATGTACTTGTGAGAGAAGCTGCAGTTACATTTTGGAAGCTCTCTCAGAACAGACAAGACACCTGGATTGATGGAATAACTAAAAGACAACTCCCCTGTTGAGCTTAATTCACAAACCTTACAAAGGGGCACAGGGGGATAAAGGGTAGGGAATATGATGCATTGCACTTTACTAGTCTAAGACAAATGAATGTGGAAAGGTTGATGAAGACTCATTTGAACTGATCAGGGTTTACCAAAGGGAAGGTCCAGCCTTGAGGCCAAAAGCCCACCCAAATGATTAGTCAGCAGCCCCCTAATTAGTCAGTGGATCTGAGCCATTGGAAGAAGGGGGGTTATTCCTT